GATCTGATAATCAAAGCTAATATTTCGCATGTGCTAGTTACCAAGCATGGTGCTGAGTGCTCCCTGCCGTGCCTCTGAGCACCATCCCGACATAGGCGATGAAGGTGGGAGTAAGGACCTACCCAGGGCCTCACAGCTGTTGGGTATGGGCCACTTTTCTCCCACTCCTCTCCCCTGTGGTCTTGCTCCCACCCGGCGGGTTCGCCACCCCTACTGCCGCTGCGCCGTGGCTGCCTGTCCTTACCTGGAGCACCTGTTGCTCAGGAGCCTGCGGGGACGCATCTTCTGCCTCGACCTGGACATGCTCCTTCGGATGAGTTTTGGTGTTAGCCCTGCGGCCCCACGCACCAGGGTAAGAGAGAATCTCGCTTCCTGCCCTGGCCCGAGGGACCGACTGGCTGGGCCTGCCTCCTGCCCAGTTCACCGGTCATGGAAGAGTGGACAGAATTCTCCTCTTGTCTGGCGACAAATGTGTTGTTCCTCCTACGATAGACGAGAGTCAGATGACTGCAGGGTGAGGGTTAAGGTCTCAGTTTTGTTCACCAGCTGTTGCCTGCTAGGAGGGTTCCCCTAGAAAGGGGACTCTCAGAGTGGTACCCAGTGCCTTGTGAAAGAGATGCCAGGGATCTCTGTCTAAAATTTGTCTGGTCAACTGGGAACGCTATTCCTTCCTGTGGATCCAGGCCGCCTCAGGGTCTCCCTAAAGTCAGTGGCCATATGATTTTCTGAAATGAGAGGGTTTTTCTTGGGAATTGGCCAGTAGCCACTCCCTTTCCACAAACACCCCAGAACTCTCCTGTGCCTTCAAACAGGAGACAACAGACTCGGGGCCAGGATGCTGTGCACTTTCAATGCTTGAGTGATAATGAAATATTTTGTCTAGCCCAGATTATTTACATCTGCCATCTGTTTGTTCTTATTAGCCTGAAACCAGTTTGCTTATTGTGATTCTTATATGGGGGTTTTACTGTGAACCCCTATAGATAGTTTTTACCTAGGGTTACTTTGGAGGATGTTAAATATCGTGATCATAAGATGTACCAGTTGAACTTAGTGACTTCTGCTAAATGCATTAAAATTTTTAGTAAATTGGGGATTGATGGGAGTGTTGGGAAAAGAAGTAAACATACCTATGAAACTCTGTGGATCTCAGTTTTTTTCTGAAAATCTCAAGTGAGGGCTTTGGGGAGAGAAGGGATCATGTATCTTCATGCCCTGATGCTGTAGTCTTATTGAAGTAGTTTCTTCTTTATAACTTCAGAGATGTAATGCTTGTAGACCTTGGGGGATACACATCTTTGTCTAATTGGTTGCTAAGATTGGGTATCTATGGAAACAATTGTCCTTTATTATTCAAGATTTGAAATCCCTTTGAATAGCTCTCCAACCTCATGTATCAAGGAACATGCTGCTCCTAGTTGGCCGCTTCCTGTAACACCTGCCACAGAAATTGGATTTCCCTGGGAGAAGCAGGAAATGTAGCTCCTTGGCCCTCTGCCTTGAGTTTCCTTCTCAATTTCAGAAATGGGTGGTCCTACCCATCAGCACTGCTAATTTCTCTTTCAGATTATTGTGCAGGTTATGCATATGAACTGTCACGTCTCACCAGTAGTTTTGTAAGCTCAAAAGCAAATTTATTTTAAAAATATTTCCTGGATTATTATTGTGTTTGTACTTGGTTTTACTTTGACATGACATTTTTTTTTGGCATGATTTTTATATTGTTTCAGTGTAACTCTGAAAATTGTCAGAGATGAGTGCTGAATTTTCTCCATTATGACTATGCTTCTCGATTCCTGGCAGAAGACAGTTTCTGGGGCACGATGACCTACCCTGAAAGCTTTGCCTTTTAAAATTTTTCCAGCAAGAGCCTCAAAGCCTGTATGAAAAATCGGCAGCCTTTCTTCTTGTGATTGAATAAAATACGGGAGAGGCATGCTCTCTCTCTCTCTCTTTTAATAGTGTTTCTTTTCCTCAGAGTTCTTCCAAATTGTAATCTGGTGTTCCAATATGTCTTAACTGCCCCCCCACCCCCATGACATTCTGGCTCATGTATCTTTTTTTCTTTTTTCCTTTCATTAAACATTTATTTTTTATGTTTTTAATTATTTTTTTTATTGAACCACTGTGAGATAGTTACAAAGCTTTTATTTTTGAGATTTAGCCATACAATGATCAAACACCCATCCCTCCACCAGTGCAAACTTTCCACCACCAATGTCCCCATTATCCAACCCCCCCACCCCCCAGTCCTCATCCTGCCTCTATGGTAGACAATTGCTCAGATACTCTCTCTCTACTTTTGGACATTATATTTTGCTTAGATTTTTTTCCCTCCACCATTCAATCCTGCCTTCCAGGGGCAGACGCTAGATCATTTATTTTCCATTGCTCATTTTGCTTATCATGAGAGGTTTTACCCGGCTGCGCACATCTGAAATTCTAAGATTATAAATGGTTGGGTTCCGGAGACATCTCTGTATTCCATTTTGGGATTCAATTGGGAGTTTCTGGGCCGGGCTGTTGGTGCACCAAGATGGTGCCCGGAGGCGGGTTGTGGGCGAGACTTCCGGCATCAAGAGCTGACGAGAAGCTGAAGTGAGACTGCATGACTCCACTGCTGCTGGGCCCACGTATTTCTTTGCATGAAACTGTGATTCTTTTGTTTCATTGTTTGCAACATGCTATTTTTCTTATTCATTACTCCAAATAAATGCTGGGGTTTTTTTTTTTGGGTCACACCCAGCGATGCTCAGGGGTTACTCCTGGCTCTGCACTTAGGAATTACCCCTGGTGGTGCTTGGGGGACCATATGGGATGCTGGGGTTTGAACCCGGGTTGGCCACATTGCAAGGCAAACGTCCTACCCCCTGTACTTTCGCTTCAGCCCCCCAAGTAAATACTTGAGTCCTCACTGTTACCTGGTCCCTGGAGGCCCCCAGGTCATAAGACCTCAGAGCAGCACCCTTTGCAGGTGTGTGTGTGTGTGTGTGTGTGTGTGGTGGGGCGGGGTGGGGTGGGGGGAGAGACAGGAAGGGTGAGGAGCCAGCCCACCAGATGGGCTTGTGTGAGTTCAGAGAAGGGACTGAAATCATGGCAGACTTGGAGGTCAGAGTGCCTTTCTTCCCGGAGGAAGTGGCATGTGAAACCAGATTTGAAAAAGAAGCAGGCTCTAGAGCAGAATGTTAGGTCAGAAATGGAAAAATGTTTCAGGGAGTTAAAATGGCATGTGTAAGGGTATGGGGCACAAGGATAAAAAACACAGATTAGTTTTACTCTGGCTTGCTCAACTTCAAAAAAATCTGGTTGCAGAGAAAATCCTGGCTGTCATTGGTCTTCTATTTAGCATGCCTGACTCAAAACACTAGAAGGACAAGGCAAGTTCTAGGGTGCCTCAGAAGGCCAGGCAAGACCTTGAGCCCTACACAGGGATGTTGGGCATGGGTAGAGGTTTGCTGAGGCTATGAAACTGTTCCTGGCTGCTAATATGAGCAGAGTCACAGGTGGAACATAATGTAGCCTCCAGCTGTTCTCTGAAAAGGGCTGCTGTGGACCATGAGCAGAGCTCCTCAGCCAAGGACTGAAGAGAGAGTCCCCTGCAGAACTGAAATCTGGAAGCAAGAAGCTGGTGCTGCTACTTGACGCCTGGATTGTGTGTCTTGGGGATCTTCTGGGAGTCAGAACTGAATTCTAAGTTTGGGATTGTTGGTGACCCACATTTGGCTGTGGATAGCACGGGCTGATTCTGATGGCCAGTACCTTCCCATGTTGCTAGTGCATAAGCCCGAATCTAGAATTTGGGGTATATATGATTCATCTTGAGCAGTGGTCATCCCTGACACATGCAGAGGATAATAGGTACTGGGGCCACGTACTCCTGTGGGTGCCCATGGATCCCAGTAATCACTGTTCCTTGTGAGAATGTGAAGAGAACACCGTGACCATTCTTATGGCAGCTCCTTATTTCAGGAAGGTGCATTCCAAGACCTTCCACAGATGCCTAAAACAGTAGAATATACTGAACCTTATAAACACTATGAATTTTTCCTTGTACGTTCATATCTCTGATAAAGGTGTAATGTGTACATTAGGCTCAGCAAGAGATTAACAACAATATCTTACAATGAAGTAGAGCAGTGGCAATGTACTGTCATGAAAGTTATGTGAATGAGGGCTCTTTCTCTTTCTAAAGAAATAAACTTCATGACTCACTGCTGAAACCGTGCCTTGTGATTTGAAAACATGGCTGTGAAGCTGTGTGGGTGGGCCGGGCAGGAGTGGCAGAGGCGTGGGGCTGACGTCAGCACTGCGTCAGGTAGCCTTGGCTTGCCTGTCTCCATTGGTGACCGTGGCTAGCCCTCCTCTGTTCTTGTACTTTCTTTTCTTTATCTGTCAGCATGGGTGAAGTATCTACCTGACAGAATTGTGGTGACAAGTGAGTGATAACACACACCCCCAGCCTGGCTGTGGTAGCTCTGACCTGACTTGTGGAAATAAGGACTATTTTCCAGAACACCATAAGTTGTCTCCCATACTTCGCTGAACAGTGCTCCCTTGTAGTCTGTGTATTCAGTAATATTTGGGACATCGTTCTACTCTAAGAATGCATCTAAATTCTGTACTCTATTCTGAAGTTGGGGCTAAAAGTTGGGGCTAAAAATGTGCTCCCTACCTTCCCCTCCCACCCACTCCCATCCCAATCCCTGAGGACCCTGAGATGGCAGGAAATACCCTGAGTGGGTGACTGCATGTGTTCCACATGGCCAAGAACTGGGGCAGTTGGGAGGAACACCCCTGATAACTGTGTTTCTGAGGGAGGAAGCTCCTGAGACTTGACTCTTCCTACTTGTATGTGATTTGGGGAAGCTGGTGCATAGTCTCTCTCTCTCTGTAAACTGGTACCTCCTTCATTTCTAAGCAATTTGCAGTTCCACAGATGGGTTCATCCATGACTCTGGATGGCGGGAAGACCTGGCTAATGTCCACTTGTCTTTCTGGAGGTCATGATTGTGGTCGGAGGCCAGGCGCCCAAGGCAATTCGCAGTGTGGAGTGCTATGATTTTGAGGAGGACCGGTGGGACCAGATCGCTGAGCTTCCCTCCAGGAGATGCAGAGCAGGTGAGCAGTACCACCTCACACGACCCGTCTCTCCACAGCTCATTCCTGTCTGGCACCAGGCCACTTGCTTCTGCCTCCCCCAGCACCTGTGCAGCACCCTCTCCACTCACCACCCCTACCTGACCATCAAGTTTCTGGCTCACCCATCTGGGGTCAGTTCTTATGCTGTTTGGGACTTCAAACGGATCCAGGAATTTGTTTTAATCAAACAAAATGAGAGACTGGAGCGATAGGACAGTGGGTAAGGCATTTGCCTTGGATGCGTCCAACCCAGGTTTGGTCCCCAGCGCCCCATATGGAAACCTGAGCACTATCAGGAATGATTCCTGAACACAGAGCTAGGAATTACTCCTGATCACTTCTGAATATGGCCTAACAACAGTAACCCTTGTACTCTACCCCTCGACCTCCCACAAAAATGATAGCAACAAACACAGAAACCTGTGAATATCAGGCTGCAGAGAGAGTACAGCAGGTAGGGTACTTGCTTTGCACGTGGCTGACCCGGTTTAAACCCCTAGCATCCTATATGTTCCTCTAAGCACCACCAGGAATAATTCTTGAGTGCAGAGCCAGGAGTAACCCCTGAGCATCTTCCAGGAGTGGTCCCCAAACAAAACAAAACAAAACATAAAATGAAACCCCGTGAATCTCACAGTGACTTTTACACACCTGAAGGTAGAGATTCCTTTTGGTGGGAAGTTATCTAACTACCTGCCTTGTGTCCCTCCTTGTCACTCAGCTGCACAGGGGAGCAGCCCCCCACTCTTGTTTGACCTCAGTGCCTTGATCCCCTGTGCACAGGTGTGGTCTTCATGGCGGGCCACGTGTACGCTGTGGGCGGGTTCAATGGTTCCCTTCGAGTCCGCACTGTGGATGTGTACGACGGCGTGAAGGACCAGTGGACGTCCATTGCCAGCATGCAGGAGCGTCGGAGCACGCTGGGCGCTGCGGTGCTCAACGACCTACTCTACGCAGTGGGAGGCTTTGATGGCAGCACTGGTAGGTACAGGAAGAAGCACCACCTCCTCTCCCAGCTGGGACACCCCCTCGTGCAGCCCTGATTCCTCCCATGCTTTTGTGGATCAACCTTCTCTCCCTCTGGCTCTTGCCCCAAGACTGCTATCCTTCCTGCTCATCTCTGTCGGTGCCCACATGCGATCATTTCTAAGCCTCTGGGAAGGATCTCAAACTGAGCAGAGGCCCATTTCTGCTTTCCAGTGATTGGGTCACAGTCACGGTCACAGTCATGGTCCTCCCGTTGTTCATCGATTTGCTTGAGTGGGCCCAGTAACATCTCCATCGTGAGACTCGTTGTTACTGTGTTTGGCATATCGAATACATCACGGGTAGCTTGCCAGGCTCTGCCGTGCAGGCGAGATACTCTTGGTAGCTTGCTGGGCTCTCCAAGAGGGGCGGAGGAATCGAACTCGGGTCGGCCATGTTGGCCACTTGTAAGGCAAACGCCCTACCGCTGTGCTATCGCTCCAGGGATTGGGAACCTCACTTATTTACAAGAGGAGACCCAGAAAGCCAGAGAGAGGCCTTAGCTTTCCATAGGATTGGAACTTGAAGGGTCTGCAGGTGACAAGGGGAGCTGAGTTTCAGCCCAAGGAAGGAACCTGGTTCAGGCCGCATAAGCTTTGTCCATTGTTCATCCCGCTGCCTTTGCAAGGCCCTGTCCTGTTGGTGAGCTCCCTTAGCCTTGGTTTTAATCTACTGCAAGGTTGGAATGAGATATTTAGTAAACATGGACTTGAAAGGAGCTCTTCTCTCCCCCAAGCTCCAGGCAAATGTCTCTATTATAGAGAGCAACTCTATTGAATTCAAATGATATCATTTGGCTCCCACAAATGTCAGCAATAATGATGCTTTTTAACCAGAATTTTCATTTGTGTCTTCACAAATTGCTGATTCACAAGTTGCTGATACTTCCCAGCTTTCCCTTTGCCTCACTCATTTCATTCTGGGGTCTTTACTCCCCACCCTGGAGGCTACCTCAAGAGAGCTGGGTATGGGAATAAAGAGAACAAATGGGTGTCTAATCAGGCATTGAGGATTTATAGGAATAGCTTTTTGCTATAAGCAGAAACCATGACCAACTCTGATTTAAATAAATGAGAGACTGGACTTCAGTTATGAAAGAAGTCCAGAAATTGAAGTTTAGACTTGGTCTAGTTGATCAAGGATCAGGGGCCAAGTTCTTTAGGAATCTCTTGGCCTTAACCTCCTAATCACAAGATAACAGTTATAGTTCTAGCAGACACATTTGTGTTTCAGGTAGCAGCAAACAGAAGGGTAACTCATGTAACTCATATTTCAGCAGAGCAAAGCCATTTCAGAAACCTGGGGTTTGGGCTCTTTCAGAAAGTCTAGCAAGTTGCCAACTCCCAGCTTCTAGGGCACAGGAAGAGGAGGGAAAGGGGGTGAGTACAGGAGTGCTGTGACCCGGGGACTCCATTCTCTGAGTGTAATTGTTGACATTTTCAGAGTGTTCATTTACACCCCATCTCTTCTCACAGCCCAGCTTCAGCATCAGTGGTGCCCTCAGATAGATCACCCTGATATGCCCCAGAGAGCTGTCAAGGCCATGTGGTGAGGCAGGGGAATTCAGCCACACCCGCAGCTTCCAGTCCCCATGTCTGCACTCACCCCCCTCTGCCTCTCAGCTCTGCATGCTGAGACCTGGGCCACATACATCATGAGTCTTTTGTGTCCTAGGCCTAGCGTCGGTGGAAGCCTATAGCTATAAGACCAACGAATGGTTCTTCGTGGCCCCGATGAACACGCGGAGGAGCAGCGTGGGCGTAGGTGTGGTGGAGGGTAAGAAGCCCGGGCCTTGTCTTGGGGCTGTGGCAGTCATCCTGGCCTGGAACAGGGTCCTGAAGAGTTGAGAGGTGGAACTTCTGTTGGGGAGGTGGGACTTCGGCCGGGAGGCAGGTCTTTCGTGCAGCTCGGCACCATCCTCAGACAGGCACACAGACACCATTTTCTATGCTTCTATTCCACAGCCATCTGTGTATTTACAAATACACTTTCCCCTTAACACACTAGGCAAGAAACAATGCAAGGATTTTGTCCTTGTATCACGGCATACTGGTTTTGCCAGATCATCTTTCTAGCGGAATAGAAATTGATTTGTCTGCCAAATGTAAGTGTGTGACTTAACCTTGCTGTCCCATTTCTTCTTGTTTTCTTAGTTAGGAATGTCAACCACCAAAGCAGCCCCTAAAAAAAATGCTATCCTGGGTAAGGACTCCAGGGGAAACCCCAAGTGGGTCACTTGCAACTGATGCATATTGGAATTACTGATGGGGGTTAGAGGAAGCACCATCCTGGTTGTATTTTAAAACGCTTGCCTTGTCCTGGTTGTATTTTAAAGCACTTACCTTGACAAAGGCTTTTGTGAGCTTGCTTCAGATGTAGAACAACTGTCTTGCTTTGATGTGGAGGAATTTGTTTCTCTTTGCCTGTTCTGGATTTGGAGTGCTTTTTGGCTCTGGGCCATCCCAAGGCACAGAGGCTAAATTACAGCATTTGTGGTAATGTGAGGAGAGGATTTTAAATGGCCTCTGCCTCTCCATGACCCTATAGAATAAGTGTCCTCCACAGAAATTCACCTCCCTCTCGCATCTCCTTACTGTGCGGTAGTCTGGATGATGCTAGGGAAATGAAAGGCACTCAGGGGTACGTGTTGCTAGCTGTCTTGAAAATCCCCTTCTGTGGAAAGGGGACAGTGAGCACTGAACTTCAGGCAGAAGTTCCCAGCAGAGCAGAGTTTGTGTTAGGAGAACGAGGGGTTACCATCAGGATCTCTCAGATGCTTCTATCTCAGGCTTTTTTCCTTCTGGAAGGGCCAGGAGTTATGGATGTGGGCAGCTGGTCATGGTGCCTGAGCCCCCAAACGCCATGGGAATGGCCAGGCCCCGCACCCATTGAACCAGCTATGCTTCCTCAGGCTGGAGTGAAGCAGAACTGGGAACTGGGGCCTTCTTTCTTTTAGAAGGGCTCAGTGACAGGATGGTACAAGCAGAAAACATGACCAGGTTTAGTGATGATAAGGGAAGGCATTATTTGACAATTGGCATTTGACATATAAACAGATGCCTGATAGTGGAATCTTGGTTTGAGCCCAAGAGTCTCTCTCTAATTTAAAGTAGTTTTGGATTTCCCATAGAAGTTTTACTCTTGGTATTTATGTTAAGAAAATTACAGGTTGATGATTGAAAAATGCAAAACAAACTTTTGATGAACTCACCATAGTCAGTGGGTCTGTATTTGGGTGTTTAGTCTATACAGCGTATGCTTATGATCCCCTTTACAATCTCATGGTCCCCCATAGGTCTGAAAACTGTGTGGGTCAAGTAGGATTCTCTAGCCCCAACCTACACATATGAGATCCTCTCACTGCTTTCTGAGACCACGTGTTAGACCTTAAACATTTGAGTCATTGCTCTGGGATAGATAAGATGCCAGCTTCTTCCTCTTTGGTTCAGCCTCATGTCCACGAGAAAGAATGTGCTTGGATACTAAAGTGCAGGGCATTTTAATTCTGAAATAGGTAATCCGTGCTTCTGGTTTCTTGGGCATGGCTCAGAGATCTCAGAAGTCTAGAGATACATTCCAGCCAGTCCAGTCTGGGGTGGGTGAACAGCCACCCCAGCACCAGTGTGTAGGGACTCTGTTTGCAAGCTCCACCTTCCTGAGCTGTGAAAGGAGTATAAGACACGGGCTTTTGTAGAACACTTTTCTTTTCATTGTTTGCTACCATGAGCCCGCCTGCTGCTAGGTGGGTCCCTCTGGTTTTCTCTGTCCTGGTGCATAATTCTGAAGTAGAGTTGCTGCAGTTTACGAGCGAGGGTTTGCGGAGCCGCAGCAGTGAAGGTCACAATCGTGTGCTGGGACTTTATGATGCTTACTTAGGGAGAAGCTCAGCACTGCTTCTGAGGAACTTGTGACTGAAGGAAAAGGAGTAAATAGGGATGAGAAGGATGCTTAGGCTGATTGGGAGCGAGCTGGTGGTATTCCAGAAGAAAGAAGCCCTGAGTGTCAATGGAGTGGAGGCCCCAGTGGGTTCAAGTGGAACTTTGACTACTCTGCCCCCAGCACTGTGCTGGGGTCCCTGGTGCTGCCCTCAGTGATTCTTTCTGTTCCAGGGAAGCTGTATGCTGTTGGGGGCTATGATGGGGCTTCCCGACAGTGCCTGAGCACTGTGGAGCAGTATAACCCAGCGACCAATGAGTGGACATATGTGGCAGACATGAGCACCCGCCGCAGCGGTGCAGGTATGGGGGTCAGGGGAATGGTCACAGGTGAGCTGTGTCAGGTTTTATCTGGCAACAGTTTACTGTTCTACCTTCTCTTCTTGTACTCCTCTTCCTCCTTTCCTTCCAATACATATAATCCCACTAAAACCTCTCTGCTGGGCACAAACAGTTATAAGTTTCCCTTTCCCAGGGGACAGATTCCTTTGCTAAGCAAATGGATGAGGTCATGTTCTCTTCATACTCACTCCCCCTCTTTCTTGCGAGGTGTCTGCATCTCTTCAGCGTAAAGGCTTGCTCTGTGCTAGGTGCTGTCCTACTCAGCATTTCCTGTGCCTCTATGAATGTAATCTTCATCACAGCCCTAAAAAGTGGATGAAGGGTCAAAGAGGTAGCTTAGAGGGATGGAGCACAGGCTTTGCAATGTGGAATACCGAGGTTTGTTCTCTAGGGCCACATGGTTCCTTCAGACCTAACAGGAGAAAATTCTGAGCACAAAGTCCTGAGTCACCCCTGAGCACTGCTGTGCATGGCTCCAAAACTGAAACCAAAAACACTGATCTAATTATAGTTCCACTAATCAGGCCTAGAAAGTCAGTGGATCCTAGGTTGAATAATTTGCTAGTAACTGGCAGAGTAAAGATGCCCACTCAGATCTGTCAGCTTCCTCAACCCCGAGATTCCTCTTATTCTTCTGAAGGTCTCACATTGTCCTGGCCCTCCATGGACATGCCCACACTTCCTTGTATAGAGTTTCTGTCTTGGTGTTGAAATACTTGGATCTAGAGATGAGTGTTTTCCCTTCATCCCCTATCACCCCACATGTGGAGATAGTGCCTTCCCAGACACCGGCCTCTTCCGCTTCCTGTGGGGAGACCGGAACACCATGTCCTTTGGGATTTTCCAGGAACTGGAGTGACAGCTCCTCCTTCCCTGCTTTGTTTTCTACCATCATCTCAGGGGCCTAAAGATAAGGTCCAGGAGGGGAGGCAGAGACTCTGGGCAGGGGCACTGACTCTTGCTTCTGTTCCTGTGGGGAGTAATGGCCAGCCTGGTCCTATAGCAAGACTGGAGGGCTTCTGGGAGGAGAAACACAATTGGGAGTTGCCCCCCTCGCCTGCCCTCACACTGCTAGTGTGTGTGTGTGTGTGTGTGTGTGTGTGTGTGTGTGTGTTATTTTGGAGATTGAGCTGGAATCTCATTTTATAGTACCAAACACATGACCACTTCTCCAGCAACTTTAAAATGATTTGATATTTTAAATTCTGAGAACTTTTGTGTATTTACTGGGTAGAAAAGAAAAAAGGTCCATGATTCCACATCAGAAGCCTTTGTGTTGAGGTTGCTCCTTTGAGGCTGCCTGTTCCTGCTGGCCCTGCCCACTTGGCCCCTCCTGAACATGGAGCGGGCACCTGGAAACCTGCGTTTGAGGTTGACCTTCTTCTGCAACTGTGGGCCTGGCCCCGAGCACCTCCAAGCTGGCCTTCCCAATGTGAGACGAGGGGACAGTTCTGTCATCCCCCTACCTCCCGCTGCAGTTCTCCTTTCACACAGCTCTGGGGATTTCAGGGTACAGAGTCTGCATAGAGCCATCCTTGGACTTCCTAAAAATCCTGTGCGCCTTGAGGAAGCAGGTGTGTTCAGAGAGAAAGCAGCTGGAGCAGCGTGTGTGGCCTCAGAAAATCTCACACAGACTGTGTGGAGGTCCATGTGGAGTCGTGATGACTCGGGGTCCTGGGAGCCTCCGGTTTCTGGAAGCTACTTGCTTCTTCCAAGAGCGGCCGTGGGCAGTGCTGGTGTGGGGGACAGAGGCCTCTGTGTCTAGGCTGTGGTAGTTCTGCTGCACATGGAGGCAGCATGGGAACACACTGAATTTTTAGACCGGATCCAAGAGTTATTTTGATACAACACCACCATCTGCTGTTCGCCTGGGGCAAACGCGAGCAGCCTGGCAGCATGGTTGCTGGATTGGATTTACAGATTTTACCATTCACAGGGTATTTGTTGAGAGTATCCTACCTTCAGAGCCAGGCAAACAGATGTGGGTAAGAGCAGCTCAGTCCTTTTGGTAGGACATTGTAGTTGAGACTGCCCATCTGCCCATCTCAGCCCCCTGTGGTATTTTTTCAAATCCTAGATTAGCCCTCTTAGAGAGTAAGACTGAGGAACCTGTGTTTCAAAACAAATGGCTACCCAGCTACTTGAAATGCAGTAGAATAATTCTCTGGAACCCTTGATGTAGTTCATTGACCTCATTTTGCAGATTGGAAAGCTGAGGCACTGAAGGGGCAGGTTCGGCATGCAGGTGAGTTTCAGGCCCCGGTCCTGAGCTCTGTGTCATGGCACCAGGTAGCTGCCTCCCTCTAGGGCTCAGTGCCACTCTCTTCTGCCTTTCACTTATCTGACCTGTCTCAAAGGGTCGGCGAAAGCCTATAAGAGATGCAGTCAAAGCACTGAAACATTACTTTCTAGTCAGACATCTGGGGCAGGATCATCTTGCAGGCTTGATCCCAGCACACCCACATCATGGTTCAGTCTTTACTCTCTCAACATGAGGAATAAAAGTCATGCAACAGCTTGGAACAAAGAAATGGTATATCTGTAGCTTTGCAAGAAGGAGAGGGAATTACTGCTTTCAAGGTTATGGTGGGCATTTTATTTTGTTTTGTGTTTAGGCCACACCTGTATGTTCTCAAGGTTTACTCCTGGTAGGACTCGGGACCACATGTGGTGCGGGGATTGAGCCTAGGTCTGCTGTGTTGAAGGCGAGAGCCCTGCCTCTGTGCCCCCTGTGGTGATGTTTTTTCAGTTTTTTCTTTTTTAACATGACTCTTCTCTCCCATAGTGTTACATACACATAGATTGATGCTTTTATAGGTGCATGTATACACATATTTTCATATATGTGTATATAACTATTGCTATAACATTACATTGCACTGTATATGAAATTCTACAAGTGAGATTATATTTGCTTTCTGTTGTGAAGCTTCCAGGTTGGCCATCTTAGACAGGCAGGTGTTTGGTTTCACACATGAAGACACTGAGGCTCATCTGGGGAAACAAGGGCACTGCTGAGTGTCACCCCCCCCCCCCCAAAAAAAAAAACCAATGAAGTTGCTCCCAGGCAGAATGGCAGGTCTTGCAACTTTGGTGCCTGCATCTGATGTGCGGCTGGAAGTCTGTGGTCTGCCTTGCAGGAGTTGGGGTTCTCAGCGGGCAGCTGTACGCCACAGGTGGGCACGACGGGCCCTTGGTGAGAAAGAGCGTTGAGGTTTACGACCCTGGAACAAACGCCTGGAAGCAGGTGGCCGACATGAACATGTGCCGGCGCAATGCAGGTAATGTGAGGGCTTTACCCCGGGGATGCAGTGGGCTTGGGGGCCTGTAGGGAGAGACTCCAGTAGTCAGATCTGAACTTGGTCCCTGAACAAGAGATGTCCACTTGCCGGACGAAGGGAGACCTCAGAGCCATGAAAGCCGGGGGTATCCACTTAGCTTGGGAGGGATGACCCACTGGAGGGGTGACCCCCACTGCACATGACTACCAAAAAAGTGCCCAGGTCAGCATCAGTGCCCCCACAGAGCTGCCTTGTGTGGCTGAGCACAGGGCTGTGTTGGACATTTGCCAGGCCGGCCTTTGTGAGCTTGCCAGGCCCCTGCTGGATTCTCCACCGGGACAGTTCTCTGCCTCCTTCCCTTCCTGCTGAGTGATTGCCCCCAAGGGTTCCAGGGACTGTTTTCTGGAGCTCAGCTCCCCCTAGAAGCTGGTTCCTCTTAAAACCCTTCCCCAGAACATATCAGTAGGTGGCTCTACCTCCTTGCCCTGTGTAAGCATGAGCTTATCTCATCTTCCTGGGCCACAAAGATCTGCAGGTGACTTTCAGGCATGTCACCTGCTTGCAAACCTGCTGCTGATGAGTGGACGTACAAATGGGGGTGCCTTGAATGTGCTCATGGCCTCAACTGATGTGATCTTCTGGGTCTTTGGGCTTAAGCTAAAGGCTCTTGGCACTCATGGTAATGGCTTCTGTTTGATTCCAGGGGTCTGTGCGGTGAACGGGCTCCTGTATGTGGTTGGCGGGGATGATGGATCCTGCAACCTAGCGTCAGTGGAGTACTACAATCCTGTCACCGACAAGTGGACCCTGCTGCCTACCAACATGAGCACGGGGCGGAGCTATGCAGGTCAGCACCCAGTGCTCTTTGGGGTCCTTTCTTGTGCTGTGGGGCTTAGGCATGGGAGGGTTGTGTTTGCAGAACTCAGGACTGAGTGCCTCCTCTAGGGTGGCACATAGCTGTCACCTGTCACCATTCCTTTCTTCTGTGCCCAGAACAAAAACCCAGGTTTAGTACTTGGTTCTGCAGCAATTCTGAACTTAGCCTCAGAATTCCTAGCTCTGTGTCCCAGGAAGGTTACTTCCTGTCTGACCTGTGTTGTCATGAGAAGGTTCAGAATTTTATCGTCAGTCCTGGCATGTCTTGTGCCAGTCTCCTAAGTAACTAGACTGTGAAGCTAAGACCTGTATGCACAGAGTAGGGAGTTGTAATTGATGAGCACTTAAGGACAGAATGAAATGTTCTCTGCAGACTTCAGAACATGACACAGGAAGATTGGACAAGGGGAAACACTTCCTGAAGGGGACAGGGCTTGGTGTAACTGTGCAGGTGGGTCACAGTCACACACAGTTGCTGTGGCCGGGTTCCCCTCCCTCTGCAGTTCAGTCACACCTTAATAGCCCTCTGGTGGAGGATAACAGTGTAATTGCATTTAATGTGTCTGACACAGGGTAGAATTTATAGGCAGTTCAAGAAACACATTTTCATATAGAACTTTTATTTGTTTTGGGGATATACTCAGAAGTGCTCAGGGCTTACTCCTGTCTGTGTACTCAGAGATAACTCCTAGAGGCGTTCAGGGACCATACAGAGTGGCACCCAGGTTGTCTAGATGCAAGGCAAGTGCCTTGCCTGCTATACTATTGCTCTGGACCCACTTTTTAAAAAAAAAAAGAAAGAAAGAAAGAAAGAAAGAAAGAAAGAAAGAAAGAAAGAAAAAAAACTCAGCAGATGAGGCCCCTGGGCCCCAAGCACCACTAGAGTGGCCTGTATAGATTTAAAAAAAAAAAGTCATGTTGTGCCAAAGCATCCTGAAATTGCACCCAGGATAGCCCCATAGTTGGGTCTGAGGACACAGCTTTGCTTGTCTGTTAAGTTGTCTTAGCTGGGGAATCCTGGAGTTTCTTTTCACAGTGTCCTCTCAATTTCATCTTTGACTAGAACCTTTCCTCTTGGGATTCTGTCAGAATAAGGCTCCAGTTAAGATTGTAAAACCCTAGACCTTGTTTCTAAATCTTAGGAGTTTGTTCCGTTGCAGAAACCAGAAAAATTGATAGGTCCTTGTTTAACTGTGGAAAGAGCACATCTGTTTGCGGAAGCTAGGAGTCTGGTGGCAGTCCCAACTGTCATGAGGAACCAGCTTCCCTTTCTTCACTTGGCCAGCCTGACTGATCACAGCTGCCATTTCCTGGGCCTTGTAGCCTCGGCCAGAACTACATTTGCCTTATACTGGCCAGGACTAGGTTCCCACTGGTCTGTGAGGTGGTATGGCAAGCTGAGCTCATGATTTGAGGGTCTCTATTATCAGGAGGCAAGTAGGAGGGACGTTGGCTCAGTCAACCTGCAGGACCTTGCAGATAACCTCAGTCCATTGCAGCAGGATTTCAGGGTTGCTCCTGAGTCCTCAGATTAGGTGTGAAATATGGTTCAGCAGGGCTAATGCTAACACACAGATGCTTCTGGATTGCTTTTTGCAAGTGTAGTTGTCTCCCACTATTTGTGGTTTTCCATTTCAGTTACTAGTGGGTGACCACTGTGTGAAGTATTATAGACAATAAGAAATTCAGAGAGAAAGATTTCATTTACTTGACTGTTATTATGATATATAGTATTTAGTTATTCTATTTTAATAGTAGTTACTGTTATTAGTCTCTTAGTAGCTGGTCTGTAAATTAGACTTTTGCATAGATGTCTATATAGGAAGAAGCAGAGCCAGCAAGTCCTTGAATAATGTTTCATTATAATGTTGATGAGCAGAAATCCTAACCAAAGAAGGAAACAATGTTTTCCAACTGTCTGCCTTTGTTACACATGATTTCACTTAGTCACTTTCCACCAACATATCAGTTCCATGAAATTAGGAGTAAGTGTCTGTAGGTTTATTATTACCTGTGGTTGCCCAGGTAAGGGGGTTATTGCCTTAGTGTGGGAGGGGTCTTTCAGCGCAGTGATATTGAATTATATGATCTGAGATGGAAGGGGAAATGGTCTTGCCTGAGGCCACAGCGTATGGTGGCTTGAGTTTAGCTTTTCTTAGTTCCACAAAGTCAGCTCATGTTCCTTCCAGTTTGTGTCAGTGTTTCTAATAGTGGAATCACACCCCTCATCCATTCTCTGAGTGACACCATTAGGGCTGTGGCACTTCCTTGTGGGTTTCTTGTGTGGGATGTGCTGGGGTGAGAGGAGGTTCTACAATCAAAGTCAGTGTATGCTGTGGTGGTGGTGGCGGTGGAGGACTCACTGTGTCTCCAGGGTCTGTACTTGTCAGTACCAGAGTCTTCCAGGAACTTGGCTGAGAAAATAGGGAAGAGCACCATGCAGCCTGAGTCCCCAAAATTTAATATCTGGGTGCGAATAGCACCCTTATCCTTGGCTGTGACTATGGACTTTGCCTGAGTTCATGAACTCCTTGAAATGCTGAACAACTTCAAAGAAGTGAAGACAACTCTCTCCTGTTTTCATTTTAGGTGTTGCTGTGATTCACAAGCCCTTGTGACCCCAACTCCCACTGCCAGGAGGTGGAGGAAGGGAGGTGCTGCTGTGCCTCAGAGCAGCAAGTCATGGACTGGATGCCCCCTGCTGCCGTGTGCTCAGGCTGCAATGGAGTGAGAATTGCTCTCCTTGGACTCGGCCACATGGCATCCCAGCACAAAGACTAGGGACCAACCTCCTGCTCCCCGAGGTGTTTCAGCCACTGCCCTGAGCAGTGGGTTCCTTATAGCTTGGCAGCACCTTTGTTTTTTTGTGTGTTGCTACAGGGACAACAGATAACAGAAACTCTGTGTGTGTGTGTGTGTGTGTGTGTGAGAGAGAGAGAGAGAGAGAGAGAGAGAGAGAGAGAGAGAGAGAGAGAAGGAGAGGAGAGAGATGTGTTCTGTCAAATTGTGTGTGTGTGTGTGTGTGTGTGTGTGTGATGACCTACTGGATTTCTTTACTACTGATCCTTAAATGATGCTAAAAAATCAAATCACAGAGACCTCTCTTTTGCATTTGCCCATGGGGCCCCTGAGACTACTGAAGCTGCTGTCTTCTGGTGGTCCAGTAGGACAGGAAGTGTCCAGAAATCCCCGGGTGAGGGCCAGTACAGTGACCACACCCATAGCCCGGCATTGACTACTGCTGCTGTCTGCAGAGGAGCTGGGTGTCCCGGTCCATCTCATGTCCTCCGTGCTAGCACGAGGAACAGCAGATGCCCAGTCCTTCCCCTCCAGGAAGCAAGCAGACAGACTGTCACACTGATCTTTGATATCATGGATTCTAGTTTGGGAGAACTTTGTCTCTTCATCTGGGAAAATGTTCTCTTCAGAGAAGCCCCAAGTGACACACTGGAGAAAAAATACATAAGAAGCAACACACATACATGGTAGCAAGGATCAGGTCTGTGCGCATAATGGCCCCAGAGAGAGTCCAGCTTCTGGGGTCCCAGGAAAGGAGGTTCTTCTGGACACTTCCTATCCAGGCTTACTCACAGCAGCTCATTGCACTTGCAAGGGTTCTGGTTTGGAGGATAAGTGAAGGATCACTCTGCCCCCCAACCCAAAGATTGGTGTGCCCAGAATTGGATGGGGCCATGTGTGCTTCAGACATGATGGCACTAAAAGGGCAGCTTGCAGAGCCGGCCTGGGCTTGGCACCTTGTGACAAAGGTCAGGTCTGTCTAAGTCCTCATCTTCCTTGCCTCACAGCCTCTTTCCAGCCCAGGGTCTGCGTCCCCTCCTCCTTGCTCCCCCTGTGAAGGAGGAGATACTGATAGGCCCTGGATATTTGATCTCTCTCAGGGGTGCTTGCATTTTAAAAGGAGAGCTTGACAAGCCTTTGCTAAAACACAGGTAAACATGGTTAATGAACTGGAAGCATCTGGGGTGTACTTGAGGGCATGTAGAGCCATTTGCATTCAAAATCAAGCACCATAAAGTGATAGTGCTCTAATGAGCAAGCTGCTGGTGTTAGAATTCCCAGCCTGTTACTAGAACATGATCTCATGGTCTCACACCTGGGGGCTGGAGTTCAGCCCTTTCTGGTGGCAGGTTCTACCTAGGGAACCAAGGAGCTTTCTGAGCCCGGACATTGGATGTTTGCTACAGGCGGGCTGCTTCCAAGTTGACACTACAAAAGAATGTCCACCCCTCCACCCCTTACTCCACAGGTGGGAGCCCAGGAAGACTCCTGGGAAGACCCGTATGGAGTGGCCCCCTGGTGAATTGACTGTGTGCTCACTGTGCACGGCATTTGGCTCTCCTGTAGATGTTGAGCCATCACTAGCCAGGTGAAGTCGGAGCCACTGGGCCAATGGGGGGCAGGAAGAAGACTCTGGAGGAGCCTCGACACACTTTGACATGGGCTCTTTGGTCTTACTGGGCACTGGCAGGGCACTGGCTTCAGAGCTCTATCCTGGCTCTGGAGTAAGATTTTGTTCCACACGTTCCTCTCTCCTCTTCAGTGAAGGAGCAGGACTTCCTTTTGGTGGTGTTGTTGCAGGATAAAGTTGGGGGTTAAGTTCTGATGTGTGCTGGTCACATAGCTCTTAGTTTCAGATAAAAGGTGATCTCCCTGCTTCCCCCAGCACCCAGAAGTGGGACTTCCATGCCTATGTGGGGGAGGGCTGCAGCCCCCGCATCCTCCTCCCTGATGCTAGCCAGTGGCATATTCTACTCCTGGTTCTGCCTCACGTCTCCCTTCCCAGGAAGCACTGTCCATGCCAGAGTGCTGCTGAGGCCATGTCCATTTCATCCACATGTGTCCTTTTACATGGGGACTAGAACACTGGTACGTCATCACCAAAAAGCCAATCTGCTCCAGCTGCCCCCAGATGCCAGCCAGAACCTCTTTATACCAGATAAAATTCTCTCTCTCTCTCCACAGCAGTGGACACAGCAGGATTATTTTCAAGTATGTGCTGGTTCTTAGGCAGGTGAACCCCCTCTCCCCATTTCCTGAGATAAGGTGGCCACCACTGCTGGTGAATGCCGCTTTGCCAGTGGTATATTTACAGTCTGCTCACAGCAGTGAAATGGAATTGTGGCCCAAGGTTAGAAGCAGCTTAGACACCACCTGGATACTGATTTGGTTAAGTCAGACCCTGAATTTCAAAGTTCTTTTTCTTAAGTACCCAATGGCATCTCAGCATCTAAAAAGTCGCAGTATTATGCAAATGAAAGTGACCTCATTTTCCGCTATGCAATAAGAATATCTTATTCTCTTTCATGACAAACCAGTTGCAATATCCCCTCCGACGCTTTTTGAGCTGTCTTACTTTGATATCTGTTACAGTGTCATGTTTGTCAGTTCCTGAGCCAGATTCTTTCAGAGATTGCCTTTTTTTAAAATAAAATTGAAGCTATAGCTTTCAGGCTACAAATTTTAATGTAGATATTTTTATAAGATAATTTTTCAGGATATTTGAATTGCTTTTTATTGTCCACGATAACGAAGCAGTTCTGTTCTATTGTGGTTCACTCTCAATGTGATTCACACCTGTAGCTCTCTTCCCTGACCGCTCACTTCCACCCCCTAAACTGATTTCTCAGAGCTCTAGGTAGGTGCGTCTCTTCCCCTGGACTCTGACTCTTCCACCACCTTCAAGGGAGATAGCTGAATTAAACCACACAAAAACACTTGAATTGCTCCGGGACTAGCGTTGTGCCTGACTCAGCACGGACTCCTCAGCGTGGCCTGACTGCTCCAGGGCACTCAGCAGGGCTTCGGAGTTCTGGCCCTTCTGGGGACTCTCACTGCAGACTGAGCCCTGCAGGCTGTTGGTGGGAGGCCCGAGGGAAGGGCTGACCCTCCAGCACCTTCTGCGGCATTTTCAAGTCTTCTCTCATTCCCATCCCTGGCTTTTCTGCAGCTTTCAGCTGCTCCCAGCCTTTGAAGCATCTTTTTTCTCAACTTTAAAAGAGGGGTCATGCCTCCTGATCCCCACTAAGAATGTGTTCAACCTTGCATTGCTGACACTCACATTAATTACACTTAACTCGTTTGTTTTTTGAACTGTGTCTACACTCCAGACTCAATTGCTGTGTATTTATCTGCCGTTAAAGCATTTAAAAAGAGCGTTTTTATTTGTGTTGGGACAGGTGCCATTTGACTCACCTCCATGCTCTCCCTTTGTACCTTGTTGGCTCAAATTGGGGGACTGAGTAAACTCATAATTTGGTAAGCTGGAGTTTTTAAGGCTGCTGGCCTGGAGAAGCAAGGAGGATGGAATGTATTTTTACTTTTCAGTGTTTGCACTATTTAGAGACCAACACCCCTGCCAACTCAGCTGTGCTGTGTCCGCTGATAGGGTGGGCAGGACAGCTCAAGCTCTCCTGGCATTTGGGAATGGAAGAGTCTGCTTCCGTCTGGATGGTCACGGCCTGGAACCCTGTGCCGCCTTTATCCTCGAGGCTCCTTGAGGCATGGATATGGTGTTGGCCAAACCAGGAAGCCTGGGACTGTGACATTTGGGGAAAAAAAATAGCCCTAATGCTGGGTTCTTATCTTTGATTATGAGATTAGGAATTATTTCCTCCCTCCTCATTGGACTTCTTATGTTTGTGTATGGTGGGTAATATACTTCCTTTGAAAGAAACCCAAGACACTGAATGTATCTGTGCATGGGTGCTCCATTGGGTAGCTTCAGGGGGTTGGCGGGCCTGATCACGGATCCCCTCTATGGCATATCGTGTCAGTCCTGGAGCTGCTATTTCCTGCTGTGATCATCAGGGACTGTGGCTGGCAGAAGGACACTTGTCACATGCACGGCCAGTCACAGTAATAATGGAAGAAATGGTTCCTCCATTGTATTATTTCAACAGGAATTGTGTTCTGGCTTCCCATCCTCTGTTACTTTAATAAAGACTGAACTGTGCAAACCTTCCTCAGTATTTCATTTCTCTACCATGTGTCAAACATAAGGACGGACTTATTCCTGCACGCCTGCAGAGGAACAGTTTTTAAGAGTGGCTGAGATATACTTCTCTAATGCTAATTCGGAAATGCTGATTAGAATACCTCAAGGTTTGGGTTTGTTTTTGTCATGAAATACATTTATCAAACATAACAGTAGTATAAAAGGTCAGTGTATATGAAATGATGATAACTAGCATTTCTGTGAGCACCTACTATGTGCCCGGCACTTTAGAAAGTGATTGCTGTTCTCAGACGCCTTGAATCCTCATCAGAATCCCCTGAGTTACTGTAATTGTCTTGGTTTCACAGATAAAAGGAAGGATGGTGTGTGCAGAGGTTAAACAAGCAACTAAGCAGCAAAACTGCAGCCAGGGTATCCGTTACAATCTGGTCTGTACCCTTAATCCTTTGTCCCTGGGGCCCCAAAGAGGTCAGAAGGGGAGGAGGGGAAAGTTAGAAACACCAAGGAGAGGAGACTCCCAGGGAGTGCATACATGGCCCAGTAAAGTGCCGTGGCCCAGATAGAGAGTGGCATTGTCCCTGCCTGTCAGCATGTTTGTGACTGCAGCAGTGGTGGCTGTGGCCTCTGCCAAATCTCTCATGCATGACTCCCGGGGTGGGGGATGGGGGGAAATGGGGGAGGCAGTAAACACCACACTGGTGCTTTCACAAATTCCTGACAGTTTAAACTGGGAAGAACGGACAAGTTGACCCTCTTTCCTCAGTTCCTTCCCTTTCTAGTTCCAGTCTCCACAGGCCTCTCCACAGGCCTCTAAGTGACCTCACCATCTTTCCCAGTGTGGGGGTCTTTCATTTTTCTCTTCACAGTGTGTTCATCAGATGCTTATTCATTCAGCAAGGAAGTAACTTCCATTGTCACTGTCCATTGTTTAATGTCCTTGAG